GCAAATGCGTTTTTTCAAAGTTCACGGTTAATTTTTTATTGTTGAAAAATGAATCATTTTATAAAAGTCAATCTCAATTATTCTCTTTACATCACACCAGTCTTGCCCTTTATATAGTATTGTCGAATCATCAGCAAAACTAATTATTATTTTACCTACACAGTTAATCTTAAATATATCATTCAAACAGATGTCAAATAAAAGAGGGCCTAACACTGTACCCTGAGGTACACCACATTTGACAATAATTTCCTTACTGTGTGATTTTGATAGTTTCACTACTTGGAGCCTTTTTGATAAATAACTTTGCACCAAAGAATATATTTTCCCACGAAAACCTAATTTGTCTAAAGTATTTAACAGTAAACTGTGATTAACTGTATCGAATGCCTTTTTCAGATCGACAAACACACAAATATGTGGAATTTTTTCAGCAAGGTTTTGGGTGATTTGATTCATTATAGTTACCCTCCGTGGTAGATTTTCCTGTTATAAAACCGAATTGATTTGGACTTAACGTTTTAAATTTATCAAGGAAATTTATCATCTCACTAGAGAGTAATTTTGCGAATGTCTTAGCCAAAGTCGATATGAGTAATATTGGTCGATAATTCGTAACGTCCATATTATCGTCTGTTTTATAGATATGAACGATAACAGCTGATTCAAAAGTTGAGGGAAATATTCCAGACCGTAGACATTTATTTATAACATAAGCAAATTGTTTGATATTTGCTTGACCATCATCTCCAGATGTTCAGCTCCGATTTCATCAGATCCTGGGCTTTTCTTATTTTTCAGCGACATAATAGTGTTAAAAACTTCTTGAGCAATGACTTCGATCAGAACATGAATTTACTAATCTTTTTCCATGTAACTTTTAAGTTTATTAGAATCGCTTTTTATATTATTTGCTAATTTTTCTGCCGCATTTCTGAAAAAAATCACAAATTCATCGCATATTCGTTGATTTTCATTTGTTACTTCACCCATTTCGGTTTTCAATTGAGTAATTTAATTTTTAGGTCGTTGCTTTCCATTGAAAATATCATTAACAGTAGTCCGTAGTCTTTTTGAGTCATGTGAATTATCATTTAGTTTCTGAAAATAGAATCTTTGTTTTGTTTCTCGTACAAGTTCTATAAGTTTATTTTTGTATTGATTACAATTTTTTATGTTTACTTTCGTTGGTAACTCTCATTCATTTATAGAGCCTTTCTTTTTCATTTGTGGATCTTATCAAGTTTAGCTATCCATTTAGTTTTCTTGAAAAGTTTTTGTTTAGATGGATCACCCTGTGTGATTTGGTTAACCAACGAATGTAGCTTAAGTGGCAAGTCGAGTCTTGCCTCTAAGTGGGTAAGACTAGAGATGGCCGATACCGTCATTTTTAAATATCTGCGATATCTGATATCGTTACTTTTCGTATCTCGCCTTCGCCATGGATGTTGTGACGTCGTGTGTTTGTCCATAATTAGAGATATACATATACAAGATTGGATCTGGCTAATGGGTCGCAATGTCCTAGTGCCTAAAAAAAAAGTTAAAATACTTAACATTCTAAAACAGCTATAAGAAAAATGAACATTGAAATGAAATTTGTTCAGAGTATTTATTATACAAAATTCTCAGAATAAAGACTTAGGCATAAATAACACTTGCAAGATATATTTTATTTGAAAAAATTTCTAGTCACTGGAACTCTTTGACTGCTATCACTATCTTCCTAATTCACATTTATAATAATTGGTAAAATGTCAGCTTGATCTAGATACTTTTCTCATTCCCACCATATCTGAATTTCGTTTTCAGTATGTGGTATACATTTTCGCCAAATTTCGGCTGTAACAACTTGTAAAGCTTCTCACCATGAATTGATACAATGCTTACTGTTCTGCTATCTCGACCCACATGTTTGTTGTAGTAGGACTCCTCAATAGGATCAAAACTACAGTGATATGGCGGTAATCGTAATACTTTATGTCCATACTGTTCGGCTAATGCATCAACAACATAACTTCTAAGCAGCTTTTATTTCTGTACCTTCTCGTTCTAAAATAACAGCCGTGGGCGTAATTACCTGATAAGCTTTGAGAAAATGTCACAACAGAGAAAACTATTACCAACATAAATTTATCCGGGAAATTCAAACGATACGTACCAATTTAGGATCTATTTTGCATTAAGGTTGGCATTCTAATTTACTTAATATGACGTACCTGCTTTGTTTCAGTGAAAGGACTATAGGTAGGATTGAACCAGTGTTGCCATTTACTCTCATTGTGATACATGTGACTGTGTAGATATAGCACACCAGCAACTAATAATATAGTGGAGATTAAGCAGTTCATATCATTGTGAACAGTACGATTCAGATTCCTGAGTTTCCTTAACACCAAACGACCCTACGCTACTAAAATCCCTAATTACACCTGTCTCCTGGAATCTCACAACCACGTAACCCTCGTCTATGCGAATACACACTTGTTGTATGCGCGTATCCGTTGTCAAATAAAGCAGCAGCAGTGTTGTATATCCTGATCAAAGGCGGCTATACTGAACCATATAATCTGGTTTCCTATAACTCTTCATCACAATCTATCTAATACAACTTAGCAGGGAAACTCCCGACGATATACATTCCGCGTATTCGTCTCGTACAGAGCATACCTGCAAAAATGACCAATATGAAATCGTTATGAATATAAAAACCTAGATTTTGATGTATGCTATGACAAAATATGTCAACTTTTCGTAACTGATTATGACAATACGGTAGTAGCTTAGGTTCGTATAGTCAGTGATTTTCATAGTTTTCTTGTGTACCGTGTCAGCGTTCTATTTTGAGGTTATGTTACAAATATCTATTTGCATCAAACTGTTAATGCTTTTGATTTATATCATCTGTTATATAGCCTGAAAGTTCCTACGATTCAAAAAGAAAACATTGCCTCACAATAGGAGAGCGCTGACGCCGACACAGAACAGTAGAAATCCTAGGAATATCTCAGCGTTTCTGAAAGAAAGAAAATACTACGAAAATCAAGGAGGCCATACCGGCGTCCTACAATAGAGCTCTTGAATCTAAACTAAGGAGAGCAGATTATCACAATCGTACAGGTTCCGAACTGGTTTATATGTACAGGGGACTCCGGAATTAATTGGACATAGTGAAATGGTATGACAGTAGTAGACCTGTTTACATCTGAAGATAGAAAACTCCTGTATTTATTTGATACGGATATACAGGGTAATTTGTCTAAGCACAACAAATCTTTGATATCACATATATCAAGCAAGATTGAATCGATTTGGATGACAACATCCTAATTCATTCAAGTATCTCATTTCTATCAGTTTATGTGACAGAAGACTCAAAATTTCAAAAGTTACCAACTCGATTTCATAATTATTTTACAAAATGGTGCTTAGAATTGAGCTAAAGCTGCTTTGGGAACTCAAAAAGCCAGAGCAGGATTCAGTTTGTTCATCTTTCTATTAAGTGCAACGACGTGTAACTTATACTATGAATGTTTTATTATATCGCAGAAAAAAAGCAATTATTGTATATGAATTAATCTTGTGAACAATCATCTTTCTTGATGATTCTTTAGTTATTCTACTAACTGATGTGCAACATGAATTCTACTATAAAGGAAAACGGCATTCGATATGCAAATTCATTTAATGTAACTTTCCAGTCCAACACAAAATGAAGATGAACATGTAGGAGAAACTGATATACAGGTCCGGAGATGTTTCCAGCATATTATTCGTTTACGTTTGTTTAACATGTTCTAACCGAAATCCTACATTAGATTAAATTACATAATGCACACATATGTGTAGGTATATACATACACACAAAAAATGTCAAGCCATCATCTGAATACTAAATTTTTGTGGGTTTTATACTTAATTTCAAGTTTATCTGGAAGGTCGAACTTAGCTGATTTGCATACTAAATGCAGTTTCTTCTTTAAGCACAGCTCGTGTTGTATATTGGCTACTAGAATTAAGTCATTAAAATAAAATATCTAGTTAAATCATAAGCACCATTGTGAACTGTTTGGAATTCCGTGTTTTGTGTAACATAAATATAATAAATAAGAAACAATCTATATTTCCAACCAAAAAGCCTCTCCGTTTATTTTTTTCTTACATAGGCAACTCTTTCAACATTCAGCTAGTAAGACGTTCATTTTGATAACTCACACGAAAGTTAAAAATCGAGTCCGGCTTGGACGTTTTAAGCGTTCTTACTATAACGAAGATTTTTGTTCGCTTTGGTTAATTTTTAAAGATGAAACATTCCCGATTACAATACTTGCATTGTGCATGTCATGTAAAACGTAGGTTTTTTGCCATAACCTTGTAGCTTTTGATCGGATTTTTTCATCTTTTATAGGTTTCTTAGTTATCTAATATTACCCGTATAGTTTTTTGTTCATGTGAACGCTTTCGGCTAAATAAGAAAAATGTTTTTTCGTTAACTGTTGTTGGATAAAAAGTTTTTCCATAAATATTGAGCTACGCATTTCATGCGCTCGTGCCATAAATACCCCTTGAATAATTGATAAGACCAAGTTGTTTTACAAACGAGAGGATTCTTCGTCTAATATGATTTTCACTGTTGTTATTTAAATGTATTATGTCAGAAGGCATTGCTGTAATGTATTGGATATACTGTGATATAATCCGGTTTCCGATAACTCTTCATCAAGGCGGCCTTGGATTCCGCGTGCGCGCCCTTCCAACGCCAACTGGATGGTTCATTTGCATACACTCTGTGTGCCTGTTCGATGTTCTACTCCTGCTAATATTACCCACTATCAATGTTCCTAATCAGTGGTGGGGATGACCAGAATCATTGATTAGTCCCAGGATGCTTTTCGAATTTGCTGAAATTCTGCCATGTTGAGAAATGAGGTTGAAGCGTAATATTTGTGTATCAAAACGGAATTTCATCAAGCTCAGTCAAAAAAATATACATCGTACAGCCACAAAGGCAAACTATTGTATGTATACTGCTATAACAGGAAATCTTAGTGCGAAAAATAGAAGAAAATACTGCAGATACTGCGACTGGTTAACTATTTGGAGCAAGGTTTATCTTTTTGTTATAAAAGGTTATCTCTGTTTGGAGACCCAACAATCTGGTACAGTTTAATCCTTCCAAACACAGTAATGTACCTTAACCCTAAAGTACCATGGCGGGGTTCAATTTGACCCTTCACGTTTTGTATGCCAAGTTTCGCTGCCAAAATATTTATAGCTCGCTGCGCGCGTTCTGCTAATCTTCGACCGGTAGGTCATTTCTCGATCCACAAATATTCCATTAATTTATCTGTTACCACTGCAGAGTTAGGTGCATGTAGGGTCAAATTTGACCCGCTATGTATGTGTTTCTAGTGCGAGTAGCGAGTGATTTGAAATGGCGGGGTGTAGTGGCAATACACGCGCTCTGACACAGAAAGAACTTGAAGCGGAGGCGCAAAAATTATTTCTAACCACTTTAGGTCAAGAACTTATTAAGGACCATTTGACTCGTAGAACTTAGTATGTTTACCGAAAGAAATTTGTAGTGTCATTTTTAAAGTTCCCGGACGGACTTCAGGAACCAGTGGAGGGGAAGGTGTAAAACATGGCCATACTCTAAAAATCAACAGAAACAAAGCTCATCGTGCGATAAATGTCAAGAATTTATTTGCAAAAATCATGCCCGCACGAAGACGTTATGCATAAGTTGTGTTGAAAAGTAAGGTTAAAAACATGCTTGTCGTTTTTTAGATACGAAATCTAAATCAATTTTTTTAAGTATAGCAGCTATGATACCTAAAATTCACCACTGAGTACAAGAAAACTGACTTTTTTTATAATTTTAGAAAGTACACATCTTTGTTAACTTCACTGGATACGGAAGACTTTTTTTAATAATGTTATAACTAACCATATTCGTTTTATTCTATAAAATTATAAAACTAGTTGAAAACAAAATAACTGAACATAAAAACAACGTAAAAAATTAGATTTTTTATGTGAAAAAAAAATTTGGATTATTTGACCCTGCCATGGTATAAATGTTACTGTTTTTGGCCATGGTAGTTCAGGGTTAAATAACATCCGGTTTCTAATGATGGGCCAGTTCTACCAAATATTCGTTTATTTCGTCTGGTTGAAGTCCAGATCACCGATGATTTCTTCTGGCATGATCACATCTCGTCAATCGAGGCAGTTGCTATTTTTTTAGGGCTAAGAAGTACTTTTTGTCACATAACGTTATAACTCTGAACAAGGCCCAGATAAGACTTAGCCTCGAGTGCTGCTCACATGTTTGGGTTCGCGCTGTTACTACTACATTATCCATCCTCGCTACTGTTCAGAGGCGGACTGTTGGACTGATCGACGACTTGTCACTGAAGGGCAGTCTAGGGACACTCCTCTACCGCTATGTCAACGGGCTTTGCGTTTCAGAGCTCTCTTCTATGACGCCACCTCGCGATGAGCCTACCAGTCTTCCGTCTTCCACCGTAACCATGTAAATCAAAAAAACTGACCGGTATAGCCGCTCCTTTACCCCTGTGGAACACTCTGTCTGGGGAGGCTTTTTTCAGCTCTATTGACCTAAGTTAGCTGGAATTTGATATTTACCAACCGAGTGATTTTTTATACGTGTTTCTGAAATGTCAATTTACTACAATTTTAGTCATGAATCACTTTACACCGGAACAACGCGCCGAAATAGTCACAATGTACATTTAAAATCGTCGTTCAGTTGTGTTAACGCAACATGCATATTGTCGAAAATATCGTGGCAGTCTGACAACACTATCCGTCGTTTGGTTTTGAATTTTCTTGAGTAAGGGACAGTGGGAGATCGTCAACATACCGTTCATCAACGACCAAGACGCTCCAATGAACTGGTTGAAGCGGTCAGAGACAGCGCTGCCCAGAACCCAAAAGTGTCGTACTATATCGTCAAGCAGCTCAGCATTTTGGCATCAGTGGAACCACGTTGCGGCGCATTTTGATTTGCATTTGTTTCCTTATAAGGTGCAGTTAACACAAAAAATATTGCCAGCTGACTGTCCACGTCGCTTGGAATACGCCCAAACAGTCGCTCGCATGCTGAACCTGATTTTTGGAAGCAAATTGTGATGACCGACGAGGCCCATTTCACGCTATCTGGCGGCGTTAATAAGCAAAACTGCTGCTTTTGTGGGCCGGAAATCCACATGAGGTCCACGAAATGCCGTTGCATGACCGGAAAGTGACTGTTCGGGCCGGCGTTTGCGTCAAAACCATCATTGGGCCATTTTTCTTCAACGAAAACGAAACAGTCGATGGAAATCGACATCGGTGGATGTTGGCTCATTATCTCTGCCCGCAAATGCATGAAAAAGGTCTTGATGGTTACTGGTTTCAACAAGAAGGTGCGCCATGCCACACTGCAAATGAAACTATCCAGTTTCTGCAACGAAAATTCCCTGGACGTCTGATGTCAAAAAGAGGAGACATTGACTGGCCACCCAGGTCTCCAGATTTGGCCCCACCGGACTTCTTCTTGTGGGGTTATTTGAAAAGTCAAGTGTCCAGCAAGCCCCAGACCACTGAAGAACTCAAGGCAAACATTCGTACCGCAATCGCCGCTATTCCACCAGAGATGCTCGAAAAAGTAATGGAAATCGCAGCAAAACAGGCACATTTTGTTTTGGCCAATAAAGGTGGCCACTTGATAGATGTTGTGTTCAAAAACTGGTCCCAATAAATTGTAATGGACCATATTTAATAAAAATACCCGATATATAGAAATCAGTTTTTCGTTTTTAAAGTTATTTCATGTTTACATACCGACATAACAGTTGACGCACCCTGTATTTGAGCTCATTACAGTATAGTATAGGTATTCCGAGATTTGGGCTTCTGTCTATGCGACTGCTTCGGTATAAATAAAAGAAATGTACTATACCTGCCGTTCCCGCCAATTGAGCTATCAAACTCTCATTCTGTCATTTTTGCGTATTGAAATCACAAATTTAAAGCATTTAAATCCATTTTGGGACACCACTGTAGTACACCGTGGCCTGTAATACCGAGCGGTGGGGCCGTTTCGACTAACTGTTTGCTTTAAACTCGTTAGTAACCAAATCCGATTTGTCTGAATCGGTCGGCGTGTTTGCCGTTCAAATTAACAATTATTAATTGGATGATTAGTGTGATCTATTCGTATTTACCGGTTTCATACGGCAGCCTATGTACATATTTATTTGATATTCGGCTAATTATGCATAAATCAGGATCGATAATGTGATGCCCACGATCAATGGCAATTTGTTTGTTTGTCCTAGTTCCGTGACTATCGTCAGAGAAAATGGGATCACTCATTAGGCAAAAGTGGCATATGTCGGAAACTCCTAGATACACATTCAACCAAGAAAATCCAACCCACAATGCCTGTGACTAAGGAGAAATGTCAATCTTTCCAATGTCCAAACTACTCAAAGTTGTTGGAAGCATTTAAGAATGTGTTCTATTATTGGTACACTAGTAACCTTGTGTCAGAATTGTATTATAATCCGTAGTGTGTCTTCCGCAGGGTTACTACGTAAAAACCGACAAAATGCTAGTTCCTTGTGTACAAATAGTTCATCCCGCGTTTGCACGCTATGAGCGCTGCGCCACAAAAAGCGTCATCAGGCAGCAGCGGTGGCCGCAGTAGTATACTCTTCGGTCTCCTGATCAGTCGCCGTGCGCTGTGCGCGTTCGAATCCCGTCCCAGGAGAAATTTTTCTCTGGGCTATGGATGTTGTAATTGTTCGTAGGTAGACGGTAGACTCTCGAACGCGGAGGTACCACCCGGCGGATCTCGTAGGCGGAGCCAGAATGTGTGCATGTTGCATGCACACGTGTTCCCTCGCCAGAGCCCGTGCGGCGCCCCCCCCCCTTTCCCATGTATCCCTCTATAGCCCCACGGAACCCAATGGGTGCTTAGGCCTTATAATAATAATAATAATAATGGTTTATTGGTGCTATTGCACAGAACGTGCTAACACAAGTCAATATAATAGAAGCGCTCAGTTACAAGAAGAAAATAAATGACAAACAATACATATAATAACAAACAGTACAGATTACACACACTTAAATATGGTTAAGAAGATGTCAATAAAACTATAAAGGATAAAATTATTACAAACTACGTTAAAATCAATAAATAAATAGCATAAGAGATAGAACTGAAATAGATATTTTATACATGGTTCGAATAAGTAGCAAAAAAAGGAAATGTAGCTAGGAATATAACTATTGAGTATCCTTGGAGAAGTTGTGGTTGAGGAACTCGTCAATGGTGAAAAAAGCAGCCGACAAGAGCAATTTTTTCACAGCATTACTGAATTCATTGTATGCTAGTGATCTCAGTTCCTTAGGTAAAGTATTATACAATTTTATGCCATGGTAGTTAAATCCATTCCTTGTTTTAGCTAGTCTATGTTGTTTTGGGTACAAGTTGTCTCGGTGTCGGGTATTATATGAATGAGTTTCATGGTGGCTTGTATAAAGGTCAGGATTTGACTTTACATGCAAAAGGCAGCTCAATATATATGTGCCAGGCAAAGTCATGATCTTTAGTTTGATAAACTCAGATCTGCAGGGATCTCTATATCTTAGATTTGTTATATATCGGATACATCTTCTCTGTAGGGCAAATACTCTGTACATGTGGGGAGAGTGGCCCCACGCCAGAAGGGCGTATGTCATTTTGCTATGGAAGTACCCATGCTAACTGGTCAACAGGACGTTTAGTGAAACTGAGTGTTTTAAATTGCGAATTAAATAAATTATGCTTGTTAGAGATTTGGTAACATGACAGAAACTTCACAACCTTTGCGTGGTCACCATTCTGATTGTTATTTCGAAGTGTGATTGTCAAGGATTGAGATTTGTTTGAATTTAATCTTAATTTGTTAGCTATAAACCAATTCTGAATGCTAGATATACTGGCAGCCTTAGGCCTTTGTGGTAGTTGAGGTATAAAAAAATCTATGGAGGAGTGACTCAACCACACGACACGCTCAATTATCATGCTGCAAGTCAGTTCCCCAGCATGCTTTGTTGGTTGCAGAATGCCAAGAGAGTCTGTAGAGTATATCTCTGAGAAGATGTGTGTCATGTGGTTGAATAGCAAAATCGCATCTGAATGACTGCATGATGATTGTGTATATTGGTTGGCATATGTATGAAATCATTGATACTTATCAATTAGCTGTACCAGACGGGTGATTCATGTTGTTGTTTCTGAGTTATAAATTATAATTTTCACTTCCCTTCCCGCGCCGGTGCTATTTGTAATTGCGCCTCATCACATTAAAATTAACAATGGTGCATCCACACACAAATCATTTTCGCAGTGTCTCGCATCTAGGCGCAGATTAGTGTTACCTACTTGTCATCGCAAAATAAATTTCTATTAAAAATTTAAATAACTGGAAATCAAAAATGAAGAATATATGCTGCTGTGCGTGGGCGTAAGATCCAGTCGTTTGGAAAATATTAGCCTGAATGATTCTACTGGCCCATAGGTTTATACAGGGTGTCCGCAAAGTTGGGGTTTACCTTTTCAGACACAATTATGCTTGATATAACAAAGCTAATGTGTGGTGAAACGTGATCGAACATAAAAAAAATAAATGAGAAAGTACTCACTGTGCAGTTGAATTGGAATTCCAAGTACGGCTCTGTCAGAAAATCTGTATTTGCAT